AACTAGACATACCCAGTTCCTGTAACCATTCTTCCTATGTTTTAGCCTCCAGTCCCCTAATCATCTTTCTTGCTCATCTTTGCACTCTTTCTAGAGTCTCAACATCTTTTTTACATAGTGACGATCGAAATTGGATGCCATACTCCAAGTGTGGCCTTACCAAGGCCTTATAAAGTGGTATTAGCACTTCACGTGATTCATTCCAAAACTTTGGTTGTAACCCGAACCTAATTTTGAAAATTTGGCGCTTACCCCCAAAAAAAATGGTGTAGAAAGGAAAATCAGCTGTGAGAAAAAATGTGAATTTTTTGGTCAAAACCCGACTTGGTCATGGTCAGAACCGTTCATGACCAGAGGTTCTACTGTATGTAAGAAGTCTAATAAAATAGTTTGTTTGAAACATTGGAGAAAAGTATATCAAACAGGTGAAATTTTTGAAGGCCTTTAACAGGATACAAATTCTCACCAAGACCTAATATAAGGAACATTTTAATCGGGTTTATTTGAAAATATTTTTGCCATTTCTTATCATTTTACCCTAGCAGTGTATCAACATAGCATGTTTATTATGTTTTTCTTTATACATCATTGCATGATTCTTTTTAACAAATGTATTATTTCATGCTTGTTTTTCAGTGGGATGAACATAGTTTTAATTTCTTAAAGTTTGCCGCTTTAAAAGAAGAAAGTTAAATTCATGCCACGGAGTTCATAATTCCTGTTTCATGTTGCTTCATCCCCTGAGTTATATCGTATATTAATTTTGGATCTTTCATTTTTTTTTTAGATTTGGTGTCATGAACAGAAAAGTATTGGATGCATTTGGTACTGAAGCATCTATGCATTTTAAAGATTTCATTCCACTACTCGACCCAAGATACACAGTTGTCCCACCAGAAAGACCTATTCAAAAGTCTTGGCAGTGATAACGTCTGTTTATGATTCTGTCTTACCACCAGCTGTCCTAAAGAGTTAATTAACTTAACAGTCAAATAGATGAACGGAGCTTGTGTTCCACATCAGTATTGTTTCAGTGAGTTATATTATACAATCAAAATACTGAGACACCGTTAAAAGGTGTGGCTTAATTCTACTTTCCTTCTTAGATAGAAACTCTGGATCACTGTGGCTGGTTGACACAACCTGGTAGATTTTTGTTTTATTTTAAATTGCATTATATATCAACGGATTAATATATGAAAAAGATTTTTTTTTTAAAAAAAATGTCCAAATGTGGTTTAAAAAAGATATACATCCACAGTTCACACTGACTCATTCCAGTAAGTAGGGGTTTTTTTTTTTAAAGAAAAAAAAAAAGAAAAATGATATTTTTACATTTAGAAATAAAAGAGACGTAAAACATATATGTATATGTATGCTATAGTTGCAGGTCAGATTCTTGTGGAAAAGATTTTCTTTTANCCATGCCCCCCCTCCCCGTTTCAATGGCAGCCGAAGCAGCAGCAAAGCAGAGGCTGACAGGTACACAAGTTCAGTGATTGCCAGTAGGCTTCTGAGTGCAATTCAAGATAGTGATAGCACTTAGAGACTTATATACCGCTTTACAGTGCTTTACAGCCCTCTCTAAGCGGTTTACAGAATCAGCCTCTTGCCCCCAATAATCTGGGTCCTCATTTTACCCACCTCGGAAGGATGGAAGGCTGAGCCAACCTTGAGCCTGGTGAGATTTGAACTGCCAAATTGCAGGCATCTGGGAGCCAGCAGAACTGACTGCAGTACTGCAACTCTAACCACTGCACCACCATGGTTCATGCACCTATGAAGTCCTTTCTGGCATAGGACCTTATTATGTGGGCAGCCATCTATCTCACCAGCTGAAGGTTGACTCAGCCTTCCATCCTTCCTAAGTTGCTCAGAGTCTAATGGAGTGGGGTGACTATAAGCAAAATATTGAATTAAATTCCCAAGTTAAAGCCAGAGCTTTTCGTTTTAGGCTGTGATGGAAGTCCAGAACCTGCGACCTTCATACTGGAAATTCCTATTGCGATTAACAAAAGGAAGGTGAGTCACTTTCAGTGGTCATATGTCTATGGAGGTTCTCAATCATCCAAATCATGATTGTCCCAAAGGTGCTTTTTCCAAAAGGCAATTGGACTTTTGGGGAAGTTTCTTGAATGAGAAATGAAACCTTTTCCAACCCTCCCCCCACCTCCCGAAAGTCCAGTTACTTTTTGGAAAAAGCACCTTTGGGTCTGGGTGATTATTACCATTGTCCATTTCTGTAAGAAACATGGTGGGTACAAGACTTTTTTTTAAAAGGAATTTTGAAGGCTTTTTGTATTAAATAAAGAGATGGTCAATGAAGGTGATTTTTTTTTAAAAAAATGAAACACATTCTAGGAGTACAAAGCTTGCATGAAGGCTGGGTTTTCTCCTAAGATTCCCAGTTTTGCTGAACAGTTTTCATGAACAAAATTGTCCCTTTAGTACATACGGTTTGTAGTTGTGCCCCCCCCCCCCAAACCAGTGATTCAGACAAAATATGTCAATTTTACCACAATTTTAGTTTGCATGTGTGTTTTTTTAACCTTCATTAGTCCCAAAGAGACGTAGAATAATATTTCAGATTGCAACCGTTTCTCATCTACTTGGCTAACAGAAATAACATTCACTGAAAGTTAGTTAGTCTTACTGTAGAACCTCTGGTCCAACCCGCTGCATAGGCAGAAAACCCTACACCACTTCAGACAAATGGTTATCCAATCTCTTCTTAAAAACTGGAGCATTCACAACTTCTGGAGGCAAGTTGTTCCACTGANGGTGAGGGTCCGAATCTCCACGGGGAGTTCGTTCCAGAGGGCCAGAGCAGCCACAGAGAAGGCTCTCCTCCGGGTGGTAGCCAATTGGCATTGGCCGGTAGATAGAATTCGGAGGAGGTCTAGTCTGTGGGATCTAATAGGTCTGTTGGAGGTAATTGGCAGCAGGCGGTCTCTCAAGTACCCAGGTGGAGACCCCTGGTTCAACAGTGATCCTCATTAACTATGAATGAACCAACCATTCATATGGCCATTGGGGAGGCGGGGGGATATACCCAACTGATTCCACTGCTGCTTTTTAAAAAAGCTTTGCAAGGGTTGACTCGCTGTATGGGTCATTTTTCTGGTGCCTAGCCTTGCATCATTGGCCTTTTTGGAAACTCATTCCCTTGCTTCCTTGATTCTTTTGTTTGTTTGTGTTTTCTTTTTAATTTTATAGACTATGTATTTCAAAGGCATTGAAGCTGGAAAGGTTCCTTATTTTCCTCATGCAGATACTATTATCTACGCTGTCTCCACCGCCATCTGCTTCCAAGCTGTAAGATTTTTGTTCTTTAGGTCCGAACTCTTTTGTTTATGTTTTGTTAATGATGCTGATTAAGTAAAGTCAAAGGCTGTAGGGCGGTTTGTCCGACTTAGACATTCATTCGTACGACGGCTGCTTGACTCTTATTTCACTTTAAGAAGTTTGTTAATGTTTTCAGGCTGCTAGAGGTGATCAAACCTGCCATTTCTGGGGGACTTTTCTGACCTAGGCTTCCTGATACAGTAAAAAGCACACACTTAGTCCCCAAAACCTTGTTTTTATTTCAAAGGCTGTAAGTTGTGTTCATTCACAGCCCGTAATGAGTCCCAGATAGTTGGAAAGAGTCCTACAGTAGGCTGCCAAAGACCTTCAGGATAAGGCTGATAAGCACCCACCTTTATCTTCCATGTAACGCTGCCAAAGACTTAACTGGCAATTAGTTTGGCAAGGCCACATGGAGCAAAGAGTCAAAATGGAGCTTCAGAAAGTAAACTGACCAGCATGAACCAAGTTGCTTCCTGCAAAGGCTCATGTGCCTTTGCTTCTCCTTTATGGCAGGGGCCAATCACCTCCAAGCCTTACTCCCGAGTCATCCCTTCTGTCTTAATTGTTGTTGCCTTCTGACAGCTCTGCGCAGGGGGAGCCTGTTCCTCTGCCTTGCTGCTTTCCAACTCTGGAGGCTCCGGAGGCAGCACATAACTCCCAAATGGCCCTGGCCCCTCTCTATCTCCGACACAGATCCCTCTTCCGAGCCTTCCCCAGACTCCAGGACTGGCCCATGTTCCTCCCCAACCTCCTCACTGTCCGACTCTGCTGCCAGCTCCGCGGCCGCTGGTGGACCCCAACAGGGACATCTTCCAAAAGCCCAAACAACTTCATTGATAAGAGGTAGTTCAGGATTGAATTGAGACGTCGTTGGTGCTCTCTGTGCTTGGTGGTTTCTTTGCAGACATTTCATTAGCAAACTAGGTAACATTGTCAGTGCACGAACGATGTTACCTAATTTGGCTATGAAATGCCTGCTGTCAGGGTTCCAAGTAACATACCCATAGTAAACAAAACTCGAGGCAGACAATTTCCTCAAAGAATAGGTTTATTGGATATGTCATATTGGCACCGGCTGCTGAAAACCAACTCTGAATATTCCTGCGGTTTCCCCCCTAATTAAAAGTAAAAGTTTGTCACTTTCTCAAAGTCACATGTTTCAATCAGGATACTGTCCAGTTGCTAGGTGACATCAGACCCCCTCCTTGCGGACACCTGCAGGAATGTCCTTGGTTCTCAAGAGAAAGTATTTTGTTTTGACTACTACACACCAACTATCTCTATTCCCCCCCTCCCTATCCCTTTTCCCCAGTGTGTCAGTACTGAAGTCTCAAAATGGCCCTAGTCAGGCCAGCTTCAGGGTTGACGGCTGCAAGGAAACCACCAAGCAAAGAGAGCACCAAGGACTCCACCATATCTGTTTGCACCATCACCTTGGGTGAGCTTATTCCACACGCATGCCCTAAAAATGTGGCACACAATTATAGCTGGTTACTTTCAGGTTACACAGCTCACCCATTGTAAGGTAGCATATATCAGTGAATTTGGAAGAAACCGCTAACGTTTGAGCTCTGTATATTTTATTCAGCGACAGTATGATTTAACACCCGAGAAGCAGATCTAGCATAATAGTGCAAATGCTTTGTGTCCGGGCCAAATCGTTGATCTTTTGTGAGAGACGGTGGATTAGTGGTATTATTTATAAGAATGTCTTACCCAACCCAGTGCTTCCCAGTGCGAATTGGACGCAGCAAGTTGGCAGTGGCAAAACAGCCGTGGTGAGTTGTCGTAGGCCTTTCATTTGATGCCCTTGTTTACTGNATTGGAGCTGCCGATGGACTCCGATAGCGAGGGACCCTATGAGTCGGCTCTGGAAGATGTGGAGGACCCTGGGCAGGGTTCAGACTCCGAGCAGGAACCAGAGAGGCTGGTTGGCCACCAGGAGGCACCTGAGGCATGGAGCAGTGGCGAAGATCAAAGGGAGTTTGTCCCTGACGTCAGGCACTAGAGCAGTGGTGAAGCTCAAAGGGAGTTTGTCTCTGACGCCAGGCAGAGAAGGGCGGAGAAACGGAGGCAGCAATTATGGAGACAGACTCATAAGAGATAATCAAGCCCAGGTGGTTGTGGCTTGGCTCCTCCTAAGAGAGTATATAAGAAGAGACTTTGGGAGGAGTCGCGAAGATTGCCAAACCCATGACAGACCTCTTAAAGACAGGGAGCCCAGGAACAAAACCTCGCCCTGGACAGCCTCTACAGTGGGATCTAACCTGCCAAAAGGCATTCGAAACATTAAAAGAAATGTTTGCAAAGGAACCGGTGCTGAAGCATCCTTACCCTGAGCAACGCTTCGCGATCCAAGCAGACGCCAGCAACATGACAGTGGGAGTGGTGCTACTCCAAAGAAACAACCAAGGAAACTTACAACCCTGCGCCTACACATCCTGCAAGCTCACAGACACAGAGAGACGATGGGCTGCATGGGAAAAGGAGGCTTTCGTGGTGAGATGGGTACTGCTAACCTTGAGACATTTGTTGGAAAGGGGCCAGATACCGTTCGAAGTCTGGACTGACCACAAAAATCTGGAGGCTCTCAGGACCCTGCGGAAACTATCACCCAAACAAGTCCAATGGGCTCAATACTTCAACCATTTCAACTTCGTACTAAAGCACATTCCAGGGGGGGAGGAATTTTCTAGCTGACGCCCTCGCCCGCATGCCCCAGCACAAATGCGAATGGGAGCAGGTGGTAGACGCCATCATTCCCTCTACTCAAACAGCTGCCCAAGTGACCACCAGACGACAACGCCATGACCGGCAAGACCAACCAGCAAGCAACCTAACCATGAGACTCAAAACCAAACTGCTAGCAGACCCCTGGTTCCAAAACAACCAACACATCTTGACAAAAAGAGATGACCTCGCATGGAAGGGGACAAAACTCTACATCCCAGAATCCCTACAGACCCTAATTCTCCTGAGGAGCCACAACGCCAAACTGGCAGCCCACTTTGGATTCCTAAAGACTTTACACGGAGGCAGTTCTGGTGGCCCGGCATAAAGAAAGATGTGGACAGTTACATGAAAAGTTGCACCATCTGTGCCACAATGAAGTGACGACCAGGAAAAAACCCCAGACTGCTGCAGCCCGTAGCAGAGCTAACGAGGCCATGGGAGGAGATAACAATGGACTTTATAGTAGAGTTGCCGAAAAGTGCGGGAAACAAAGTGATTTGGACTGTAATAGACCTGTTCTCCAAACAGGCACACTTCATACCCTGCAGCGGACTACCCTCAGGTTACCAGCTGGCCAAACTGTTCCTGAA